GGCTGTTGAACAACCACAGCGCGGAAGATCAAGATATTGCCACTTAGATTGCAATGTATGGTCTTGCAAGCATGTACAGTGAGTCACAACAGCACTACACTAACATAGAACATTTGCCAACTTGCCAGCGTTCATTTGTGAGCTGAATGTTTAGGAGTGGGCAGCGTGGGCACTGAAGCTCAAACTCATTGTGTTCACGGGGCACAAGCTTGTCTCTGGTCAATCCGCCAGCCAAGTGTACGGAGATGTGAGTGGTTTTGAACCTGTACTTCTGTGGCACAAGTCTTCCGTTGATGGTGCGGGATACAGCGCATCTCACTTTGATTTGTTGGCAAAGGCAGGAGGTTTCCATGGTACCACTGAACAATACACTAACGAAGAACAATACTAGAACATACAGTATATATAGTACAAATCAATCCATTGCCCTGTAGGAGGAGTGGAAAAGCTTCCTGACAGCTGAGGACGTTCCATGGTGTTTGTGGTTTCCGCATGTGCTGCACACCTTACAGTACAGTAACATGGACCAATGCGTGCAGTACAGTACTCCAGTACTCCTGCTCAATTTCTTGCCTGGAGGAGTGGGAGGAGAGCTTTGCAGGGACCCCCTTGAAGTTTATGGTTGCACAGACAGGACTGGCTCAATCGGGTTACAGTACTGTAACAGTCCAGCACAGGTACAGCACAGTACTCCGGCCGGGTGTTGTCTTTTTCCCATGTTGCTGCTGGAAGAGCTGCCAACCATGCTGGTCTTACTATTGTCTGTACTACTCTTTGCTGGACTTGTGATCTTCATGATTGTGAGCTTTGTGGAGCAGCGTGACAACGGCAGAACAGACCATTCAGCAGGCCAAAAGGGTCATGGCACAGCGGAGGAGACAATGGTTGTGGCACAGGGGGCGCAGGGCATGGAGAGCGAGATGCCCAGAATTGCGCGACTACCAGAGGTACCTTTTGAGTGGCAAACCAGTCGCAGTCCAGAGCCTCCAGACTTTTCTGACTCTGACTCTCCCGACTCTTACTCTGACGAAGGTTCTTGGGAGTTTGAGAGCCCGGGTGGAAAACACTGCCGTAGAATCAGAATCAAGGCCAAGCGCCGCTGTCGGCGGGCGATCTACTGACCTTGTGTCTAAATGACAATTTGCAGTACAGTATGACAATTTGGTGCATCAGGGAAAAATGCAAAGCTCCTTTGAATTGCTGCGGGGAATTTTGCACTGTGCGGGGATCAACTGATGTACAACACCGACTAACATAGAATATACTTGAATGATCTTGAATACACCTGGGTCTGGGACTACCGGTAACTTCCAAGCACTTCTTCCAAGCACTCTTGCAGGATTTCATTCTTTAGCATTTCTTCAAAGCCGTTTGTCTTCAAAACAGTCTTGCAGGTTGCAAACCTGGAGAAGGTGGAGCTGAACAATGGAGAGCAGCAACACGGCCAGAAGGCAGTTGAGTGTTTGTCTCCTTTCAATACTTCTTGCTGTTCAGTCGCACTTACTGTAAGTCTGCATAAGCTAGAGTCTGTGGATAGTGGTGGATACAAGACTAACAGACTAACATAGAACACAGTGGTAAATGAATTTCAATTTCCTTGAAGCACTCTTGCAGGATCCAGATATGGACATGGTGGAGCAAAGCAATGGAGGGGCCATGCAAACGGAGGAGGCTGTTGAGTTACAGCACCGCTTTTTTTCCAGGGAAAAGTATTGTAAGTCTATTCAATTGAAGTACGATCAAGGCTGTTGCTCACCACACAGTTCGGGTGCAGTGCAAAGTTTGTGCAACCTATATACAATAACATAGAACAGAACACCCTAAAACACCATGTGAAACCATTTTCCTGCTTTCTTCAATACACTCTTGCAGGTCGGACACATGGAGAAGATGGACAGCGAGAAGCAAATCAGCCAGCAGGCAGTTCAGTGAATATGAGTTCATTTTTGTGCAAATATATTTTTCACTTACAGTAAGCCTGCATAGCACACACCTGATAACATTTTTCTTCAAACACTCTTGAAGGTTTCAGAGCCGATGGAGCAGGGCAATAACAATGAAGGGGCCATGCAAAGCGAGGAGGCTGTTGAATTACTTTTCTTTTCTGGAAGAAGCACAGTAAAGTCTACAGCACTGAGATTGGCAATATTGCAACCTAACATAACACACACATGAACACTCTGTGAAACCACTTGCACAATTTTAGTTTTTACACGCGGGAGTAGCATTTCTTTCAAGCAGTCTGGCAGGGCGCAAACCTTGGCAACGGAGGGTCCACCCCATGCCATGAGGCTGTTGAAGACTGTTTGCTCATTACCATGCAGTTCACTGGTGCAGTGCAAAAGTCTGTGCAACCTAACATAGCACAAGGGGAAACCATTTTCT